GTATGACGGTGCTGGGGCTGGAGACAAGTGTGTCTGTGCTCGGCCGTGCCAAGAGACACTCACATGGTTCACTCCCTGTATGATAGTGCTGGGGCTGGAGCTGGCCGTGGTGCTGGAACTGGAGCGTGGCTGGTGGTTCTCCAGGGAGGTCTCGCTGTCCAGCGCCGGGTCATCAACCTCCACCCTGTACTCCTGGAAGTCCTGGAACTCCACCTCGCTGGCATCGCCCAGCGCCGCGTGGGTCAGAGGGTCCACATCTGCATCAAGTCGAAGACAGCCCGGTCATCGCCTGGACTCACAGTGAGGTGATGAAAGTTCCCGCATACGGAGACTAATCGTGCACTCGCGGTCAGGATTCATGCACACTGAGCAATCCCACAGACCCGGAATAATCCCGCTCATGCTGAACAATCCTGCACACCGTGACCGACCAACCCAGGTCAGGATGCATGCACGGAACAATCCCACACACGAACGGAACAAGCCCACACATGCTGCCAAATCCACCAAACGCAGGACACCCCCACACACGCTGGCCAATCCCGCGCCCGCTGTCAGGCCTCTCGTGCTGCACGAGCCCACGTGCCCTGTCGGGATTCGTGCACAGAACAATCCTGCTTGGGGGTGGGGGTGCTGGGAGCTGGACGCCTTGCTGGAAGGTTAGAGACCCGTGTCTCGATGCAGACAGAGCTACACATCCTCAAGATAATTCGCCCTGTTTGCTCCTCTCCATCCAGCTACACACAGATACCAGCACTCGAGGAGAGGCAGCCAACAGTCTTACTCCCTTAGCTCACACAGAGCCCTGTGAGCCACAGTCTTCACCCACACCCCTGCACTGATGCACATCCCAATACTGCATGACCTCTACAGAGCAGTAACTCACTGCTGGGGGTGTCCCCCTTGATGTCGCACTTCATCATCTCGCTGACGAAGTCCCCCAGCGAGGAGTAGGAGGAGCTGGAGTCGTCGTAGTCCACGCTGTCGCTGCCGCTGAAATGACACAGCAAAGCGGAGACTCGCGGTCAGGCCGCGGCACGCACAATGCAGGGGAGTGGCGGGGGACCAGCTGTCTGGTCCAACGTCCATCTGGAGGCCCGCGTCACGGCTGGCACTCAGCCGGCCTGTTATTTATCAGTTCACACGCTTCACTTGCGCGCTGCCTGATGAACACGAGTGGGTGAGCTCAGGTGACAACCAAGAGCCGAGGCTGGGAAGGGGGATGAGGCAGGAGTACCCTGCTGCGTTAGGAAACGCTTGTTATTTTACATTTTTTGAACACAGAACAAAAAACTGAAAATGCACAGTGTGACAAAATGACTCTCCTTTCCTCCCCACTTGCTTCAAAAAGAGGTCCCCCCTCCCCCTCCCACAGCATTTCTGACCCTGGGACCCCTAGGCAGCAGTCTGACTGGTATGATAAGAGAGCTGTAAAAGGATGTTGCCATGTCAGGGGCAGCCAGTTGTTCCCAAACGGAGGGGAAAGGCCCAGTGTGCATCGGGGAGATTTGTGGGAACAGCTGTTTCCAGGTTGAACTTCCCATTATTGCAACAAGCTCCTGTTTCACATTGAACTTCTTGTCCAAAAAGCCACGTCCAATATTCCTCCTTCCCACAGTATCGCAAAATAGTACAAGTCTACAAATCGTGAACTCTGTGAAAGTACTGTACAGGTGCCATGTTGTCGCAAACCCTTTGTCTCACCAAGGCGAGGGCGAGAGTTCACGAGAATTGTGACATGAAGCAGCCCTTCCTGCTCACTAGTCACCGTGACAACTGATGTACTGTGATGTACGAGCGAATGCAGGTTGTGCAGCAGACCTCAGAAATGTTACAACGTGATCCCCATGCAGAGTTAACAAATAGCACTGGTTAGCAAAAGTCAAGAGCAATATTTCTATTGGATTAGAAGAGGTGTATTCACAAGCCTGCTTGTTTACAAAGGAATAGGACCGGAACATGTCGCCAGACGTTTTGTTGCCTCATTCTGAATCGCAGGACATTGCGCTGCGCACACCTGGAAACAGTCTATTTTGCGATGTAAGTTGGATGTTTTTACAAGTTATTATGTAGGTTTTACTCTCATTGTGGTTTGAAATGCACTCATCCATGCCACTTCTCTCTAGCCCCGAAGTATAAAAATAGCGCTGTTAGCTCCTCTTGCGCCTCAAGGAGTCTGTGGTGTCAAGAAGTGCGCTGCGAACTGGAAAAGGTTTGGGAAGAGCCGCAGGAAGGCCTTCTGGCCTATAGCCCTCGGGAAGAACATGGACCCCCCCAACCCTGGGCGCGGAGGATGATGGGAAGGCTCACCTGTCGTCGGTGGGGTCCGAGTCGTCATCGTCGTCGTCGTCTTCCCGCTCCAAGGGCGCGGTCATGGCCTCGGCCAGCAGGGAGTTGCCGTCATACACGCGGTAGTATATGGGCTGCAGCTGGTGGGCGTACCACTTGGGCTTGTCCCCGATCAGAGAGGGGTCGTACACGTCTGCGCGGGAGAGAGAGGACAGGGCAGCGTGAGAGCAAATACACAACAGGCCTGGGTGTCATTTACTAGCCACCACTTCGTGCCTGAGCCCCGCGTCCCGGAGGGACAAGTTAAAAAGCTAAAAACTGTACGAAGGATGAAGACGGCTTTTTCCCCCGCCACCATAAACCCGTGCAATTCTAAAGATGTTCTTCCTCTGAACTGGGGAACTGGTCTGCTAAGAATCAAGAAAAACACCCTGAAAAGAAAACAAATCATCGCGGTCCCCCCCCTCCCCCCAGGTGGGAACTTTTCTGCACGCGTTCATGGGACTGGGGGGGAAGAGTTTTTAAGATGCACCGCCGGTTTCCCCGCTCTTACTGTTGTGGATCCGCTGGAAGGCCAGGTTGGTGGGGTTCAGAGACCACTCCCCGAAATACTCCACCGCCTGGGTGTGGGCCAGCTTCTCGGCGAAGCCCGACTGCTTGGGCCGGGAGGCCAGGAAGGAGTTGGCCTGGAAGGCGACGACGGGCCGGGGGAAGAGGCGCAGGGTGCGCGTGTGCATCTGAAAGCCCTGCAGCACGTTGGGGGAGTTGAAGAACCTCACCATGGCAACCCTGTGCGAAACAAGAGAGAAGGGGGGGGGTGGTCAGCGAGAGAGCTTTGTGGGCTTTCAGTTGACCCATCCTCGTATTCCCAACTAATTTACAATAAGATTGAGAGCACAGAACAGATGCTACTTCCTGCTCCTCTCAAGGGAGGAAGGAAGACTGGTGATTGCGTTTCGTCTCGGATGACAAACGCGACGGGGGTGCAACAAGTGATGTGATTGTTTCCTTCCTCCTTGACTGATCGAGCCATCCCATGTTTGCTCTTCTGATGCTGGAAACACCAGCGCGCACGCAGTTGTTTGGAAGCCTAATCAAATGAAAGAGCACTGCGTAGCTTAGTACAAGCCTAATTACCGCAAGCAAGGAGCCTGCAAGAGTTTATCTAATTTTGAACAAGATGCCGAGCAACAGTGACAGAGGTATATTTAACTCGACCAGGCACTATCAAATCAAGCAATTCTACTTTCTCATGAAAACCTCATTACATTTTCTTTCAACGTCTGCCTCCTCGCACCACAAACATCCCAACACATTTCAACAAAACACACGGAAACCAGTCGCCGGGCTGTGGGTTGTTAAGCTTATGAAATAAAAGCTTGCGACAGGTTGCAAGGTGTTGTGCTGATGTGGGGATTGGAGAATGCGTTTTTAATAATCACTCCTTTTCGAAAGTGGTCCTGTTAACAGTTAGTTTTAAAAATTGTTCAATATCTCTCTGCGTTTTTTATTTATTCGTACGCTGGTTTGAGGATCTTTATTAAAGGGGACTGCAAAGCTACAGTATTTTTACATTTCGGGGTTAGAGAGAATCCGAATTGATCAAAGCATTTCAAATCACAATGAAAGGAAACATGCACAGTAACATGCAAGACCTTCAGTTTACACTGCAAAATCGACCGAATTTCCAGGTATGTGCAGCATCATACTGCCATTACTTCTTGCCTTGTTCTGCATCGCAGACAAACTTGCGGTGCAATGAAGAGGCCCTATTACACTGTAAACAAGCATTGTAAAATTCTGCAATGCCATCCATTAATCTTGTTAAGGAGATTTAATAACCAGGTTGAGAAAATGGGACTGCAGTTCACCTTTAATGAAGGCTGCACTACTAAATAAACAGAGTCTCCAGGAAAGGAATAGATTATTCTATTACTCATGTTAATAATCAAAAAACTGCTGTAAAGTGTGAGGTTACCCTGGGACAACATTTGCCTTTCCAATGTCATCTGTCAGCATTTGCACAGGACAGCTGAGTATTTCTTTGGAGATGCCCTTTTCCAGGGCACAAGAGAGATGCACAGTAATGATACATGTACTGGAGCTGTCCCGCATTTTTCCAGCCAACGGATTACAAGCAAAGCTCAACTATAAGACCGCAAAATAACACCGATCGAAAACGTTTTCCTGGGGGGCAGAAACGCCGTGGACATCTTACTTTTACTGGGGCTTGAAGTGCACTCATCAATGCCGATTGTTTCACTCTCACCAGTTCTCAACCTGGCACATTTATCACCACAAATACAAATCTCCCCACGAAAACGGAGATGCAAGACAAAGCGGAAGCTCTCTGGAGGGCCTAGCAGATGTAACGCAGGTGGAGACGTTCCCTCCCGGGAGCGTGGGGGGTCTTGCCTCGTGGCCACGTCCACAGAGTCCACGTCGTTGCCGTAGATGAGGGGGTTGAACTCCGTCGAAGGGGTGGAGGTGTGGTCTTCCCGGCCCCTCCCCGCCAGCAGGGGCATCTCCTGGCCCTCGTGGAACTTCTCCAGGTTGAGGATGGGCTGGGTGTTCAGGCTCATGCTGGCCAGGGCCTGAGGAGAGCAGGCAGCTGTGAAACACTGGGGGGGGGGTATGTTGAGGGACGCACACGAAGGTGCAGCATTAATGCACCCTGGGGGGGGGTAGAGGGGGTATGTTGAGGGACGCACACGAAGGTGCAGCATTAATGCACCGGAAAGACCGGGCGGTAGCACTTTCCCCGCAGGTGCGCACGGAGACGCATCGTTGCCGATGGCTTCCCCGTTTCCCCGAGTCAAAATTGGCAGCCCTCTGCCGCCACAAACCCAGACTCTGGTTTGCAGGTGCAGGGCAGCGGCCTGTGAGCGCCGTGCGGGCCACTCGCACCTCAAGCGAAAGCGCTGCCTGAAACCGGCGGGGGGGAAACGACAAAAAGTAACAGGGGGGCTCCCAGGGGTAACACAAAAGGTCAGCACAAAGGTGGGTTCGCAAACAAATAAACGGACTGCGCTTTCTGACTTAAGCTGATACAGGTCGGATAAAAACTGACCTAACTACAGTAACATTCTCTACTGACGTCCTAAACCTCGTACGAGAAGGAGAGGAGCAGTTACACTGACGAAGACTATTGTTTCAGCCAACAGTAAGGATGTCAGCAATTGTATGAGACTGCTGAAGAAGGAGACGCACCACCGGGGTCAAACAGAAAGGATGAAGCCTGTAACACAGAGCTCGGTTTGAGCCCCAACCTGCTCTTAAATGCAGTGAGGGCAGAATCTAGCTGTATGAAGGCAAGACACTGGAGCATACAGAATTTAACCAAACGTACCCTTCAAACCCCTCGTTCATACCCATCCATCCATTTTTTTTACCTATTCTTGCCATCCAGGGTGAAGGGGGACCTGGAGCCAATCCCAGCAAGCAACAGGCACAGGGCAGGATACACCTTGGATGGGACGCCCGTCCATCACAGGGCAAACACGCACAGACACAATTCTCCCAGAAGCCAATTGACCTACCAGTAGGTTTTCGGATGGGAGGAGGAATGCGAACACCAGTCAGACGGCACCCCAGGTCCAGAGCTGAACCCAGGGCCCCAGCACTGCGAGGCAGCAATGCTGACCAGTGCGCCAATGTTCCGCCCCCAATTCGCCAAAATACATAATTGATCAACCTCTGTTGAATTGCCTTGTGTTTGAAATAACTTGGAATTCAACATTCCAAGGATATTCCCTTGCACTGCAAAATTGCTTAAGCTTCTCGTCATGAAGGTTTGCTGTTTGAAGACGTACTGTGGCGGCAGGAAAGTCCAGCATTTATTTACCCTTTGAAAGAGCAAAAACGCTCAGTACAGGGCTATTGTGCACATGCATGTCAGATAGGAGCGCCATCTTTTGCAGCTCATCTCCAGCCTTCTTCAGTCTCAGTTGCATGAACACCCAATACAAGCGTACAGAGACACACAAACATAACACTAGGGCTCCTACGCTTGGAACATATGCATGCAAGCCCGGCAAATTGAGCAGAAGAGAGGTAGGAACCTTGTCAGAAGCGAAGAGCTGCCTCTGAGTGATCGCAGTCAAGCTAACCAGACACTGAAGGGCAACAGATGGGAGGTCACATGACAGCCACGGCCAATCACAGAGCGGACAGCAGAGGCACGCATGGACACAGACACAGATGTGGCGGAAGAGGGGAAGAGGCTCTCTTAGACAGCAAGAAGACAACAACAACAACAACAACAACAACAACAAAGGGGACACAGAAAAAAACAGCAACACAGACAGGTTTGCAGGGTTACAAGAAAGGCTCAGGTCAGGACTGCATCACATTTTCAACCTCTCTCGACCCCCCCCACCAGTCATAAATTCAATAACCAATGTCAGTTCGCCCCCTAGGTGGAAGCAAAACAGGTAAGTGCTCTTAATCACTGATTTTGTGATTGGCAGCTGGCGAGAAGGTGGAGGTCGACTTGACTGAACCTGGGCCTCCGTCGTCTTGCTCTGACAGAAAGGTCAAGGCAATACGGACAGCTGTTATCCACACAGTGTCCAGCAGGGGGCAGTGTAAAATGAATACTTCAATGGCTACCTCGTCTGGCGGTAACCCTCTCCAGAGATGATTTAGTGGACAGCACACTGATTGCTTTGTGAAAAACCCCTGGAGCCCTGTCAGCGGAGCTGAGTAATTCACTAGACGTTCAGGCAGTAATTAAAATTGTAATCTACAAAAGGGGAACTCAAGGAGAGCTAAGGTTTTACGTTGACTGTATGTATTTAGCATTTCTTGAATGAAATGTAATGTCACCTATTACAGTAATGCTAATATTATTAGACGTTGAGCAACTGGTAACAAAGCTAAAGAGTTAATTTAATAAAGCACAAAAGTGTTTACATCACTTTTGTTACTTACAGCAAAGTTACCTGAAAGTGCTGTAGCCTGTGAAGAATTCAGATCAAAAAGCTAAAAAAAAGTCTAACACTGTAGACTGATCTTTTCACGATCCAGTTTTCAGAGATCTGAACATGCTGACCTGAATTTCAGCAATCTACATGAAGGTGATGAAAATCGCAGTTACGAAACGTTGGGAAAAATAAAATCAGGACGGCTTAGAAGCGCAGAAAAAAAGGCAGTTCAGTGCGAACGAGAGGCTGTTAACATCCAGAATCACTCACAGGTCAGCTCTTCAAGCAGCACCGGTGAGCTTCTCTCCGTCTGAAGACACGCAGGTCTGCCCCACCCTCCTCAAAGGGCACAGCAGCAACTCACGGGCCCACAACTTACGCAACACAGACTCAGAAAGCTCCCTTTCCAGAGAGCGGACGGAGGACTGAGCAGTGCTGACGGGGAGCTCCGTGCCTGTTTGACACGTGTGCCAGTCAGTGCTGTTCTGTCCTTACACGGTGGACCCCTCTCCATGGACCTGGAGCGCTCTGCGCTTGTGTTTCCAGTTGTGCACGTATTTTCCAAAGAGGGGAGGCCACTGTCCACTCTGGACTCACACTGCCCGAACTGGTACGCCACTTTCTATGCCCAAGTTTTCCAGCCGGTAACCTACGTAAGGACAACACTTCCATCTGATGCTTTAACACTGAATTCAGACTAGCTAACCTATACCTGAAACACAATGTCATATTTAAGCCCCTGCTGTATTTCTCTCAGATGAAGCGTCTGCACTACAGCTCCGGTATAGGCTGTTAAGCACTGCTGAGACAGGAGAATGACAGAACCCACTCAGCCTCTCAGCTTGCTTTAAGCCTGAAGTGGTTCCCAGCCCCTGCTTGCTAGTCTAGATTCTAGGTTTCTTTGTTCCTCAGTCTAAGTCTGAGATCCTAGCCCCTTAATCAAGGGTGTGCCCAAAATTCTCCAGCATAAAGAACTGTAAGCAGCCTCTCCTCGGTTTTCAGAGCCTTATTTTCAGGCTGACCCATTAAAAGGTGATCATTTTCTGATAAAAAGACAGCTGGAACTGTCAGTGTATTAGAAGCATTTCTTCAGCAAAAAGCTTAAATGAAAGTAGTGGTAGGGGGTTAAAAGTTATTTTTAAATTAGCTCGAGACAGAAAACTGAAACTAAACATTCTGATAAAGAACCTTTTCCACAGCACCAACCGTATTTGTTCAATCTGGGACAACGCAAACAGATAGACCAAGAAAGTCTTTCAAGTTTCACACATTATTCCCAAACTCTTGTCTCCCAAAAAAACAGGGAATTAAAAAACCAGCACAGCCCAACTTGGGGGAGTGTGGCATGAAAACATCTCAAAAAACACCAAAAGAAGGAGGGAAGTTCAGTTCAATGACTTCTAATGTTCAAATGATCTAGCCAAGTGGAGTCAGAATGAGTCTAAGAAGGAAAATAAAATAGTACTTTGTCTCGGCACCTTTTCACAAACAGAGATTGCAGGAGCTGCTCTGTGATAAAGATGGAGAGAGGTGGGACAGACTGTGTTTCTAACACAGCAGATGTTACAGACCTCCATGTTCTTTGCACCACCTGAGTATTTCTCAGGAGCTGCTCAATTAAGAGCCACTGAACTGCTACAGAAAGAATGACTGTCTCTCACAAAGCACCTATTTTAATCCAAGCCCTTTAAAATTATTCAGACAGAATGTCTCTCCTTGCTTCATTTTAGTGTATGTCAAGGCCAGACTGACACTGTGGTTGGATAACCACTGTGATAGTACAAAACCGTTTTTAAATGCAACTGATTTTACTTTCAAACTGTAGTACATATTTGAATTTAATATTTCACGAGGCAAATGGACTTTTAACTGGAGGGCCCTGCACGACCTCATTCTGGGTACGGTCTGTCTTTTTGGATCAGGCTGGCCATGACGAGTCCCCTGATTCCAGAGAGTTCTGCAGATGCATCTATGCTAGAGACAGGACTACTGTGGAGAGCACTAGGTGAAACATACTGGAGCCCACTGCATGGGGCCTGACCCACAGAAATCATGGCTCTTTAAACCATGAGCTTTTAGAAGAGTCCTCAAGATCCCTAAAACATGTCCTGCTTTCACAAACTCTGTGAGGTCTCAATTTCTCAGTTTGCATTCGAGTTCTGTCACTTTTTTTTTTGCAAACACTCGAACTTCTTAAGGGCAATATCTGTGAAATAAAGGATTAAAACACTGGCGTAGGATTTTCTGTAGAGATCGAATAATAAAACGGAACATGACGCTGAAAACTGACTTGGAGGAGCCTGGTTTTGTGAAAGCAGTGGCTAAATGTATTTTTAAATTAGATGTGTACTGCTCAGCAGAAAAGGAAACATTAAAAACCAGGTGCATATAACACCTTGAAGGGTTTCACTGTGGCATGTGAAATGGTTACACCCATTGTGGTTAATTTCAAACAACTGGTTTCTTATTTATGTTGAAATAATAATAACTTACAAGAGATTTAAAAATGTAAGGATGCTACTCTTAATTGTAGGAGGAACTGGAACTGAATTATAAACTATTTTTATAATTCAGGTTTAAAGGTCTCTCTGTTTTATGAATCAGGCCCCGGTTTGGTGTAAGGAAGGAATGTTTTTTTCCGAAGAAGAGCCATGGACTGAATCTGCGAGGGCTGAGGGGGTTACTGAGAGTGGAGGCGGAATCACTCTCAGTAACCGAATTACCTTGAGAAGCTAGGACAAGCACGCATAAAAAGAAAAAAGAAAAGGAAACTGGGAAGTGAGATAATCATATTAATCAAAGCACTGCAATCATTTCTACAAATCCCTCACCGGGTCCTTTTTGTAAGGGTAAACATTAAAGCAGGACTGTCTGACTAAGACACGATAATTGTCTGGTTTCACAAAACTCATTTTTTTCCATCAACGCCCCCAAAGCAATCATTGCTAATCAGCCCACTGCTTTAGACATTTTCATTTATCTGGTCGACAACAAACCTGACTGCAACTCGTCGTTTTGTTTCAGAGAAACCAGACTCAATAATTGAGATGGAACTTAACAGCATTGTGTGCTCAAAAGCCCATCTGCACTACTTTATTGGTAACAATTTAAAACAAAACAAAAAAAACATTTAGCAAGCAATCTTGAAAGAATACCCATCGATGCCTAACCCTTGCAGTCACCTTGAGTAAGCTTTAAGAGCAGTTTAAATGAGAAAACCCATGACACACTGCTAGATTTGTCTGTCATTAAAGGGCCTTCGGAGAGTCCGATCCTTCTAGTTCCTGTTGTGTCGCTGTGGCCCGACGCACCGTTACCTGCTTCAGGTGTTTCTTCAGCTCCGCGGACTCGGGCTCTGGGAGCACCGGCAGGAAGTCGGCATTCTTGGGTATGATCACCTGGAGGAGGGGTGGGGAGGGGAACAGGAGAGGCGTCGGAAACCTTAGGAAGGAGTCTGGGAGTGCCGAGGTCCAGATCAGCTCAGTGGACAAGGCTAAGCACTAGGTGGCTGACAGCTCAGGCTGCTGTCGGTTCACCGCCCTCATGAAGACTCGTCACAAGATAAAAAAGGGCGCCATTATTCCGATGGGATTTTAGCCATCTACCATCACCACAATCTTTTTAAGCAAGAATAAAAGTAAAAATAAAGTCAACATTACTGCTGCATCCCCTTTTACCCCTTACATAAGAGAGACTACAGGTTTATAAATGTGAAATTCTCTTGCCCACACTTGGCTCTTATCTCAGTGCCATCCACCTCCGACTCCAGTTCTGAGACTTACAATGAAAACGGGATAAAGAGCAGGCAGGTCAGAAATCCTGGAGGGGCAAGTCCGCCTCGGACCGGCTGCTAGGGAACTAAAACCACCAAAGCAGCGGCCACGTGCAAAACCCGGAGATTAAACCAGCGTGATCCTGGGTGGGACTGACCTTGTTACAATCCAGGTCCACCAGCCACACGTCATCCGGCATCTTGAAATCGGATTTATAGAGGAAGAAGCTGGCCGGGACGCCGATGATGTACGGCGTGGGAGCTAAGAGGAGCTGGGGGGAGGCAGGAGAGGAAGACGGGTTATTTATAGACTCGAGCGGACTGTCGAGGGCCTGGCTACAGCGAGCAGCGGGGCCTTTGAGTGCAAGCGGCTTCTCGTTCCGAAGACAATCGAATCAGCCGGGAGAGGTCAAGCTGCTCTGGCAAGGGAAGAGCACCACAAAGCCCATCAAATCCAATTTAGCCAATCAGGGCGGAGGAGATGAATTAACAACGCAGAGTTACAAACAGCAGCGCCGTCTCCTCGGCAGCAGCCAGGGGAGAGACACGGGCCCAGCTTTACACGGCCTCCTGGGAAAGAGCAGGGCAAAACTCGGAGACACACACGACTGATCCTGCTTTACTGGGGCTCTTGCACATCACGAGTACCTTCCCGTGATTAACACGTGACTTGGACACCCCTTGCTCCCCCTGCCGGGCTGGCCGGTCTGAACCCAGCTCCAGGGGAGTCTTCCTTCAGGCCCTCTCCACTCGCGCGGCTCCCGCATCACTTCCTGGGTCGCGACCTTTGACCTACCTGCTCCGCAGAAGCCATGCAGGTGGGCAGCAGAGGGATGACGGGGAACATGTACTCCAGGGGGTAGATCATGGCCACGAACGCCATGACGCTCATGGACAGGGCGTTGTAGTCCCGGGACTGTAGGACCACCTGCCGGGGAGAGACCAAGGGAAACCCTGCGGATCAGCCAGGAATAAGATGGCCACACCCAGGTCAGCTTAGCTCAGACTAACTCCTGCACATTCCGACGCTGCCTTGCAAGTTTTACATACGGACACGTCCTGCGGCGAGTGAGGCTACGAGTCCAGTCTGTCCAGCGGCTTTGTGCCGATGTTGAAATTCAAGGAACGCTCACGCAGGAATTCTGCTTAAGGTGTCTTGTGCCACTGGCCATGCTCAAAGTAGACCACAGCCAAGGGCAGACCCACCAGGAACCATACGGAGCAAAGATCCAAATCCAAGCGTTCAGACAAATCTATTTAGTGCTTCAAAATCGGGTTTGCTCCATCGACCTCGTATTTATTGCACGCACGTAAAAAACTATTTTTGCGCAACGTGCCCAGACCTCAGATTTGATCCCCTGTAGCGTCAAGCCAGCAGAGGATTCAGCCTGTAAATGCAAGGGAGCTCCTATATGTTCAGACCACTATGCTACATCCCACCCCACACAGAGCAAGAGATCCTGAACACAGGCAATGACTGATGTAGTTTAGGATCAGACACAATTAAACATTTCTACTATGTGTGACAATCAAAACGCTACAGGGTACATCTAATCTATTAACACATATGACACAAATATCAAAATCAAATTGCCCAGACAAAAGGGTGACGCAGCTGGGTGAGACATCAGGACCCACTGCAGAGGAGCTGCAGGGCCTCTTCTGCCCCAGAAGCCCCTCGTTCTCACCTTGTGCTCCAGCAGGATGCAGGTGAGCACCTGCAGACACGCGTCCACCCCCAGCAGCTCCAGGGGCAGGTGCAGGGGAAAGTCCACCAGCGAGAGGCGGGAGGGGTCGGGGAGGGCGAAGGTCAGGGCGGGCTGCATCTCGTGGGGCAGCACCTCCACGTCCACCCGCTTCTGCCCGGCCGCGGGCACGGGCGAGCGCAGCAGGCGGTACACCCAGGACTCGATCTCCCGCAGGTCCTGCAGCAGCGCGCTGCTCTTCTCCTCCACGGAGAGGGCGCCGGTGAACACCCGCCACATCGTGTCCCTGCGCAAGACCAAGACACCACAGCATTTCAAACCGAGGACCGGAGGCGCTCCTTTGCACCAAGGGTAGTAGGAGTGTGGAACAAGGTGCCCAGCTGTGTGGTTGAAGCCAGTACCCAGAGGTGCTTCAAGAAACAGCTGGATGAAACCCTGGGATCTATATTCTACCGTCTAGATGGGCCAAAAAACCTCCTCTTGTCTCTAGCCTTTCCGATGTTCTTACGTTGGACAAATTAACCCCAGTGCCCCGGCCTTGTGCAATCTGACCTCCCTTAAGTTATCATCGTCAACATTCTTAGGCATCGGGTAGTCTTGCTTCTTTAATGTGCTTTAATTGTGCAAATCTACCCAGAACATATTAGCTCGCAGTTCTGAGATATGTCAGAGTGTTTCTAACAGGACTGTTTGTAGTTAAAAAACTTAAAAATGCAGTTACTGTTTGGGTGTGAGTGGTTTAACAAGGCTCCCTCCCATCAGAAAAGGTTGACAACCCCTTAACCAAGGGACAATTGATGACTATCATGATTTTCAGGCTTGTCTTGCCAAGCATCGACAATGAAAGTGTGGGTGGACAATGTTCTGTCACTATCTTTGTGTAGGCCACAGCAGTGGGGTACCTGCTGCTACAGATGAGAATCGTTTTCTTTCCGTAAACAATTTTCCCTGAAACTGCGAGAAATGTGTAAGACATAGGATGATCAAATCTTCAAATATGGGCTAAAGCAAAAGACAGTGCAGATATAAGGCTGATTAAACACTTTGCAGAACTGCCTTCCTCTGCAATCACCCCAGGTCATGATTTTAGCCACTGAACCACAAGACGTGCTCCACACTCAGTACTGGGAGTACCGAGCACTGGGTGAAGGCAGAGAGAGACAGGTTATAAACGAGCGTTAAAACGAATTTGACAAGTGACCAAATGACGTCACGCCCCTGTTGTTCTGGAAAGGACTTCAATTTTGCCCCCTCTGGCTATTAAATAATACCATCAGGCCTCCAACATCTGACATCTGCTGTGATAAATATAGGCCTCCCACACGCCCCAGTGCCAGCTGACAGATAGCAGCCTTGTGTGGCCAGGGCGGAGGAGGGAGAGCGATATTCCAGAGCAGCCTGTGGGGGCTCTGCCTATACCCGCTGCCCAAGGCTGAAACAGCAGCTCCCTAAAGTGGCAAACAAAGACTCCAGTCCCCCCACCAGGCAGGTGCTGTGTTTTCAGGGAGGCCATTCCGTCTCGGGTGCAATTTGCAGCCCTCTGCTCACTTTCCCACAGATCGCGCACGAGTTCCAACATGTGAGACGAGAAACCATGCCCTCGATAAGACTCCTGTGACAGGGGCTTATCACACCCAAGATATTAAAGGGTCAGAAAACAGAAAAGAAGTCTTGCAAATCACTACAGAGAATTTGTTTTCTCAAGCAGGAATCACATCAGCAGGGTAAAAAACATTGTGGAAGAGTCTAGGCCTAAGAAAATCTGCACCTAAGACCTCAAAGCATCTGAAATGTATTCATATCTGGCACTAGAATTCCACTATTAACACATGGCATGCTGCTATAGCAACTTGAGTGCCACCGTTGCATAAGGCAGCAATTCAGAATTTGACAGATTCATCAGATAATCTGTGAGGAATTCGGGCGTTTCTTCAGATGTGCCTTCAGTTATAATTACATGCATTTCTAATGCGAAGACGTTCCTTGTGACAACTGCCTGCAGAAACTCAGCTCTCATTTCTTTGATGCTACAAAAAAGGCCTGTTATTAACGTTCATCATTCTGACAGTAACTGCTTTAAAATGGACCTTTTTTTTTCTTGAGAATTTAAGAGCTGGAAATCCAAATTAACAGCATCAGTGAAGCAAAAGAACAAAAATCAGATTTTCAAGGACAAAACAGCCAATAAAGCCACAAACCAGCTACTAGACCCCCCCCCCAGCACACATCAGACTCCACCAAGAAATGATTAAATAAACTAGAGATGACCATTTTCCGCCCGAGGAGCTTTATACAGCATATGGACGAAAACGATCGATAAAACCTACAGGGTAGAGTCCTCAAGCACTGACTCTCTTTAGGGCAAATCCTGCAGTAGTACGTTCATGTTATGAACACATGGAATTTGTGACTAATCCCCCACTAGGCCAGTTGCATGTGTGAGGACAAGACCAAGCAACATTGGTCTAATGGGTGCACCTCATTTACAGCCTGTACAGAAGTCCAGCATCAGACAAGAGCTTAAGATGCAGAACACAGAGCCAACATTACATGTGTGTGTGGGTGTGCATCGTGAGTATATGTGTGTGGCTAGCCTTGGGCATCTTCATCACCCTTTTCACAGAGAAAAAGGGAATAAATTCAACGCAGGTCACTTGAGCGATGGCATGTTCCCACACTGCTGTGCTGCGTACAGAACAGATGCCGGAAAGGGTCTAATCACCGAGTAATAGCAGGCCACTGCTCAGAGAGGCTGAAAGGTGGCAATTTAAGGGCTAATGACTTCAAATTGATCACAAGCGCAGCCTTGAATTGGAAACCGCATTTTAGCTTGCAAAAATGTATTTTAGCCTGAGCTTTTCTTTCTGCATAACGATCGCTCGAGTCTTCCGTGTATGTTAAACACGGTCGACATTGTAAATGATGGGAGCACAAGGCCTTCCTCTGCCCTGCTACCATCACTCGCTGATCTGAACTGCTGCCTAACCAGATTCTCGGAGAGAAGGACCTTCATCATTAGCAGACATTTCGAAATCAATACAAATGTCTCCACCAGAAAACCAAGGGGAAAGAGAACATGCCAAACCAGGATATGTGCATCAAAAAAAAAACAACACATGTACAGAACTCAAGCCCTGGGAGAACCAGAGTGCAGCAGGATTTCCAGGTGGTTTTAAACCAGCTTGAGGCTTTTAAAAGTGCAAACCTGACCCAGTGAAGCAGTGGACCTGCCTCGGGGACTAGAGTCGCATCTCCCTGCCCGAAAAACCATCTCAGGAAAGTCAGTAAAATAACACATCTGCCTTTGGCCTGAATCTGTCACCAACTCAGAATGCAGCTTCATTACCTAGAAATTCTTTTCATGTTTCACAAGAGATTCAACCATTTTATTATTAGTTTGCACTGCAACTACATGAAAAAACCCGACCAGGACGGATGCAGATTTAAGGAGCAGAGCTGGTAGACTGAGCAGTTCCTGTGATCATCCTCTGGGCTGCATCCTCGCTGCAGTGGTGCTCAAAGCAGAACACCCCCACCAGCTGCTGAGCTGCTCTGTGCTCCTAGAGATGAAATTTTACATGAAGAAATTGCAATTTAAAAACTTTAGCACCCCAGCTATGGTGGATGGGTGACGGCGAACGGAAAATCAGACAGCCGTTTTTCTCAGTAAAGACTTCTAAATAACATTTAATTTACAAACGGGTAGGATCTGCGATTCTGAGTCTATTAGGTTCTAAATTGCTGGCCTCTGCGCTCGGCTGCCTCTGCAGGAGGAATAGGGTTATAATTTGCTCCTTATGAGAGTGTCTTGGCAGCTGCAGTGCAAAATTAAGCTCTCGATGAGAAAGTGCCGCTTCTGGCACAGCAGAGACCGAAAACACAAGATTTAGCTTCCAGGCAATTTTCAAAAGAAATGCATTTGGGGTGGGGAAAAAAAAAAGAGACGGGGATCACCAGTCTTCAGAGACGCATTGATTTTTTCCTGATATTCTCAAATATAGCAAAGGGAGAAGTGAGAAAAGGAAAACGTGTCATGTTTATCTTCTAACCGGGAGCAAGGAAGTAAGGGGGAAAAGCAAAGACTTCAGAATTAAGACTAGATTCCAAAAAAGCTCATGCACAATTAAAACCATTTAACTGCAAAAGGGTTTGTTATTCTACGTGGAGCAAAGTTGACGCATCTGGTCAAAACTGGCTCCAAATCAGCTGCCTTTCTCTTCTCCTCCACGTCTGCCCCTGCTGCACAGTTTGTGAGATGATGTTTTCACATGTCTACAGTGCCATAGTAACTGGAACTGACAAGGGCGCAAGGAGTACTTATTTCCTAGAGTTCCGGTGGTACACAAGAGGTTTACATTTAAGAAAGGCACTAAGAGGAAGAAATCAGAATCATAGATTTCTGAATGTCACCTGTATTACTGGTATGAAGTCATAGCAATTCAGTTAGATTAATATGCTCTGTCACCCAAATATCCACTGTAGTTGTGCTGCTGACTGGCTAGTAACCGGGCAACCGCCTCCACAGTGATGCGGGTACCACTCTCACTTATCATCTTACAAGAGTGTAGTCAAGGTATTTTACACTTGAAGAAAGGGAAAGGAAGGTTCTTTTACTTTATTTATTTTAGGCGCTCTCTTGAATGAATTAGGTGCTAATGAATGAATTTTGAGAAAGAGCTCTATGGAGCACATTTATAAATTAAGACATTCATAAGCATGTTAGTCAGCTGGTTTCCTGCAGTAACTAGAAGTGAGCATTTCAATTTTGAAAAGCCTCAAACGCCATGTATTTTGTGTTGCTGAAAATGACATCGGTTCATGCCATTTGTGAATGGATGACAGTTTGCACTTAATGTATTTTTAAAAAGGCAATCTAATTGTGGATGCACACCCTTTTTTCTGCTTCTGGAACGCATCAATTCCATCTTCTACAGCACGTTTAAAATCAGATCAGATCACTTTATTGGCCCTATACAATTTCTTGCATTAGGAATTTGTCTTTTCGCAGACCCCAGCTTGCTCTCCATGGGACACACAGACAGGGAGAGAAGCTGGGGGTCAGAGCGCAGGGTCAGCCATTTATACAGCATCCCTAGAGCAGCTGGGGTGAAGGGCCTTGCTCAGGGGCCCAACGGAGTAGGATTCCTCTGCCGGCCGCAGGATACGAACCGGCAACCTTCCAGCCACAGGCGCAGATCCTGAGCCACAGAGCCACCACTCCGCCCAAAATGCGGCAGAAAATATCCAAAGGGAGACTTCAGAATTGGCTAAAGCAATAAGAAGCAGATGGCATTAAGGATCCACAGCTCCTTGATGAGACCCTTAATGCCATCTGTTTGGCACACTCCTCCCAGTCAGGCAGGAGGTGCATTAGAATACACTTCCAATCCACCGAGCTTCAGCGCTGAAGAAGCCACTGAGGGCACAGCGTGTGTGCCGCACCACTGCCCCCGGCCGACTGAAGAGTCCCGCCGCCGAGCCACGTCCCTGCCCCCACTGCGCTCGCTGGCGGGACCCGACACGCTGTGAGGGCCACGGGGCTATACTCCAGCTCAACCCCAGAGGCTTCTCTCCCTCCGATTTTAAAAAGGGGGCAAAGTGTAAACGTCATCTGCGACTGTGGCTCAATTTAAACAGAATTAGAAATGGAACTTCTCAACCAATAAAACTCTTCAAAAGTAACGATTGCTCCTGGGACTACCCGGTAGGGTTTACACACAGTTAACCCCTGGAGAAGTCTGAAGAGGGCAGCCAATGTGGTCACACACATCTCGTGTGTGATCAAATCTAGTGTCTCCATATCACTATAAACAGGAGAAAGCATTTTTCCCTTCTTGTCCTGCTAAATACACTCACTACAATATTGAAGTTGTCCCAATGACATTAGAACAAATTCCATCCTTAAAGAAGAAAACAAAATAGTACATGTTGAATGTCTCAGTAAATAGCTGGGCTCTAATTGGGCTCAATAAGGTTCTAAGTAAACCAGTAAACTGCTGATTAGCCCTAAACCTGCCTTAAATAGCCTTAAAAAGCTGCATATAAAAAAAAAACAATGGCAGTCCTTCTGAAACGCAGGCATGTCTCCTGAAGAGCTTGCCCTCAGTGCATTATGGGAAGGTAGGAGGCCTATCCTGTTGGGTGACGACACCTCAAGGCTACAACCCTGCAGGTGCTAATGGCCACAGATGACACCCAGTGGGTCACAAGACACCATTAACACCCTTTCCTCTGGACTGTCACTGGGCACCGAAAGAAAAATCAATTAAAATCACACCGTGCCTTTCCTCACAGTCCTGAGCTGGCTAACCTCTCCTTCGGATAACGTGAGCTGCCAGAAGCGATGCGCCACAGCTGTCTACTGATGCTTCAGATGATAACAGGACAATTCGCCACCAGACTGACGCGCATCTATACGATTTTTGGGGTCACTGCTCTTGTTCCTCACCTTAACAGAAAAGAAAAGGCTGAAGTTACTCTTGGCTGAAGGATCTGGGACCATTAGGCACTGAACTGATCCCAAAGAGCAGGTCTGTCAGAGCAGCCAGAGAAACATTTCCTGGGATAGAAATAAATGAAGAAATAAAAGCACAAAAACCCATGACAGGGCAAGAGATGGAAAAGGGAACGAGCCATTGTCCTGAAATGCGTTCCGACAGCCCTGCCAAACCCCTGTGGCTACCCGAGCCATCACCAGCAATTCGCTTCATTCCTGCCAGCCGAAGAAAGCGGCGCTCCCAGACTGTGGGGGCCAGTCTTCTCCCCAGCTGGCGCGTCCAAGAGAAAAACCAAGCGGGATGGAGCAGGTCCAGCGATCGGGCCGCTGCCACCCCACCCCAGCAGGTGAACGATCGCTGCTCCAGCCCCGTCGCTGGACAAGACCCAGCTGGAGTTACATTCAACAGCCTGTGGGCTCCACTGCACTGCATCCCTTAAGCATCCGGCATTCCGCCCGGAGAGAACCGCTGGCTGTTCCCAAGAGAACTCGGGGACAGAGTGGGATCCGGGCTATCCGCGGCATGTGTGAGATATCACGGAAAGGGCCGCGATTTAGACCACCAAGATTTTAGTGCAAGAGAACTCAGGCATCCTTTATTCCCACGGGTATTAAGCAGCTTAAAGGGATCCCAATTGCAGAACATGGCGCTGCACATACCCGGAAACTGAATCTATTTTGTGATGTTAACTGGAGGTTTTACAACTTACTGGGCACATTTTACTCTCCTTGTGGTGTGAAATGCACTCAATGCGGATTCTTTCTAACCTTTAAATCTAAAAAGTGCTCTTTTCATTTGGACAACTGTATATTTCACACTCACTGCTACGCCAATATCTTTGTTTTATTTTTCTAGATTACGAAGGGGCCTGCAAACTTGTTTTTCTCATCTTATGCTTGTATTTGCAAACGGGTTGGTGTTGCGTTAAATGTATTGTGCATTGTGTTGTGTCTTTGACCTGCCTGCAAAGTTCCCATTACATTAACAGAAGTAAATAACTAGAGTGGGGGTGCTGCAAGCATAAAAATGGAATATGCTTGACAAAAATACAGTATACACAGAATAGAGACAGCTGAAGAAGGCTCCACAGCCGAAATGTTGGGTCGCATTTCTTTTCCGTTCAGCAAGGAACGAACCTTAATTGCTCCTTTGCCAAAATAAAATAAGCGGATTGCGAAAGGACGAATGAAAGAAACCATGTTTTCAGCTCTTGGATCCTCTTCTCAGCTGCCTGTGCACACTGACTCAGCCCCCCTCCTGATAACACCCGGGCTGTTGTGTTAGCGTGTTGCGGTGGGCAACTAACTGACCGATCTGAGCAGCATGAGGAAAACGAGGAATGCTCTGCCCCCCCACTACAGGACGCTCATCTTGAACCATCGGGAACCTCCGCCACCCCACCGGCGACAAAACTGGCGGAGACTTGGCGCAGGGCCTCCTCTCGAATCCAGCGGCCAGCTGCCGGACGGGCGCCAGGCCAAGCAAGCAAGCCTGGACACGCCCCGAGTCGGCACAGCCCCCTTTACAGGCTGGGGTTCGACGAGGGGGTCAATGAAATGAAAGCGCCCTGACTGGAAACCCTCCAGAAAAAGGCCGGAGTCTCGAGACCAGAAGCCCCGGTCAGCATCAGGCATCAGTCTTACCCACCTCGCTGGGACACAGTGCAGCCCAACACGAGCGGGCAGACGGCGTCAAGCAGCGTGCTTTGAGCAGATCTTGAAGGCAGATGTTTTTCAAAGGCAATTAGGGAAAAAACGAGCTCGGGGGGGGGTGAGTCAATATCGGATCTGCGGCAAAGCTTTTCTTCTGCTCACAGAAAGCCCATTCGCTCTTCACAAACAAATACGGAGCTGAATAATACAATGACGCATCACTTTGGCAAATTCTGTTTAAACAGAGGGGAGAAAGAAAGATCCACAGGTGGCTTTCTGGATAAGCATAGAGACCTTCAACCACAGCGGGATTCGGGGAGTGTTTTCAGACGGGCCGTGCATCGATTCGCGCTGACCTGGGGAGCACACGCGTCTGACCAGAAGGTCACTTGAGTGATGTGCTTCACTTCGGTCCATGACCTGCTGTATAAATGGGTGTCCAGCTTGCCACTGCAAATGACAGACTCCTGTAAATCTCCAGGACTACGATGTTGGCACTCTTTCAGAATCTGTCCTATACTCTTTGATGTACAGCTGCAATGATCAGAGTCCCAACAGTACAAGGATAAGCTGGTGCACCAACCCGATGTGTCGCACAACAAGCACATTAAAAAAAAAGGGCTAAATTTTCGATTAAATGGTACAGCTAAACAAAAGAGAAAGAATAAAAAAAATCAATCTGCTAAAGCACTCTCACTTCTGTCTAACTGTTCCTTGGAATACAGCCCAGGCTAGATCTTTAAATTAAAACAGGGGGGCCACATTCCCTTAAAAAAACACTTTTCACTTTTCAAAAAACAATTCCCTTAGAAGCAACGTGAACAGCCTTCATTTTAATTTCATCACACTGCCGGCGTGCACAGAATACTAAGCAGCACTTTCTCTCCAACTCAATAACATCACTTGCATCTGTTCTACATGTGACAGCAGGGATGTGATGAAAGTATTAGTCGAAGCTAATGAAGAAGCAGCGCTGAATGACTATATGGCACATGAGCTTTTCTTCACTGCACACTCACTAGACCCTCAGTCTAATTCAAAGTCTCCTCTTGGAGGCGGATGTCAAGTTAGGGTGG